GAAACAGAAGAGCCAGGAAGTTAGCACAGCCTTAGCACAGCCTTGGCACAGCCACTTAGGAGCTATGTAATCTTAGATGAGTTGCTCGCCTTCTCTAAACTTCAGTTTTCCTACCTGTAAAATGGGGATAATAGTGCTTACTTCAGAGGGTTAAGAGTTTTCAACAAAATAATTATGCAGAGTATCACAGAATCAGGTACATAACAGATGTTCAATAAAATGTTATTTCCCTCCTCTTTGTCCTTTAGAGGATGAACAGCCAATCCCCTCCACTTCCTCTTCCCATCACCTCACTGTGAGAAGTAAAACCCCACCCAGAGTTCAAGGAATCACCTCTGGCTACAGTGTTGGCCCCAGGGTCCAAATGACAGCCCCTCTCTGAGACCACACCCAGGCACTGCCTAAGAAAACAGCCAATACCCCTCTTCCTCTCTGCCTCTTTCCTCCAGGGCTCCTGGACCCCCAGCCTCTCCCTTCCCCTCCCTCCCTGCACTTACAGTGAAGCAGGGCCTGTGCTTCAATCACCTCCCACTCTCCTACAGGCACTAAGCCCAGCTGTGTATGGAGTGGCCAGGGAAGGGGGCCCCAAGCTTCCTGCCCCACCCCAGCCCCTAGCTCCTTCCTACTCTCCCCTCTCACTGCCCCTCCCTGATTACCAGGATAACCTCAGCTCTACTGATTCCAAGCCCGCTTCTCCCAACCCCTTCTCCCAAACCTGTTCCCAGCTGTCACATCTGTAATTACCAACCTTGCCAGGGGCATTGGACAAGCACAGCAGTACATTTCCAAAGGGCCCCCACCCCATGCAGGCCTCTGCCTCCTACTGGATACTACCCAGGGCAGAGGAAAGGGATGGAAAGATTCTCCCTGAGCAGGTTCATTTCTCTCATAAGAAGGTGACAGGAGGCTACCCAAGTCAGGTCACCAAGTCAGATCTTTGGAAGGGGAGTGCTGCAGGGGAGCAGATGTGGCCCGGATTCACTCCCAGGCCTCTCACACCTGCCCCCCAGCAGCACACGGTTACCCACCTGGACAGAGTAAGAGGAGGAATTTCAGGTCAATTCAGAGAGAAGGGAAGTTGACACTCAGTAGAACAGGAAGATGGGAACCCAAGGGGATGAGGGTAGATGCATACAGGAAGGAGCTGCCCAGGAAAGAGGAAAGATAGAGTTAAAAAGTCCCATCCCACCCAGACTCTGAGAAGAGGCAGTAATATCCCAGCCTCTCTTCTCTATTTCCTTCACCCTCACCAACCACATAGGACTTTGTTTTATAGGCAGGGAAACTGAGGCAAAGTCCCACCGCATACTTCAGGATCCAATAAAACCAAGTTGTATGTGGTTCACCAACACCCCTGACCTGGCCCAGCCTCTCCCTGCAGTGCCCTCCTTGGTCCCTCACTGTCAGCCTAACTGGTCCTTTAAATCCGGCTAAGAGCAATCCATACTGAGGAATAAGATTCAGCCATGAAAAGGAATGAAATCTGATACCTGCTACAAGGTGGATGAACCTTGAAAAGAATACACAGAGTAAGGGAAGCCAGACACAAAAGGTCACACTCTGGATGATTCCATTTATATGAAATATCCAAACTAGGTAAACCCAGAGAGACAAAACACAGAGTGTGGTGGGAAACGGAGGAACTAACTGCTTGATGGGCACTGGTTTCCTTTTGGGATGGTGAAAATGATTTTAGATAGAGGCCATAGTTGCACAACACTGAGAATGTACTAAACGCCACTGTTCACCTTCAAGCAGTTCATTTTATGTTACATGAATTTCATCTCAATTAAAAATTTAAAAACAGCCAACTAAGGGCACATCTCCTCCATGTACCTTCCCTGACACCCACCCCAGGGCCAGCACTCTTGCTTTAAGCTCTGGTGGCCTCCAGAACACACCTCCACATAGCACTCACTAGGCTGAGTGAATCAACATGTTTATGCATTTCTCCTCTGTGAAAACCTGTCTCATTCACCCCTCCATCCCCAGCGCTTCACATAATGCCTGACAAATAGGAAGTGCCCACCATGGTCTACCAGAAGAAGAGCAGAACCAAGCCTAGCTGTCCTCTCCAGCCCAGAACTCTCTCCACAGCAATCTTCAAGCAGAGCCCGAACCACAGCTGCTACCATTTACCACTGAGTGCTCCCCATGTGCCAGGCACCGTGCGATGCACTCTCTACATACGACTTCATTTAATACTCATAAACCTAAGAGGCAGTGCCTATTTTTAACTCCATTATACAGGTGAGGCTTCAAAAAGTTGCGTGTTTTTCTCTGAGGCCACAGCACTAGGAAGTGACAAAAACAGGATTTAAGAGTAGCTGAAGCCCAGAGAAGGAGGCACTGGGGGCACCTGGGATTCCTTGAGAAATGCCCTGTCTGTGGTTGGAGGATGGTGTCTTAAGACACCTACGAGGCTGAGGAATGGGGTTTTCAACCCCCAACATCACATCACTATTAAGTACTAATTCCAAACAACCATATTAGACTCTTCCCTTTGGCCTCACAAAGTGAGGAGCTATGGAAGGAGAAATGAGCTAAGGAGATGACTGGGGTCCCTAAAACTCAGAGGAAATGAGGGGAGTCCCAGAACTCTTCCCTCCAAAGCTTCTGTTAACCACACCCCTTCTGTCAAGATCACACCCCTTCTAACTGGAAGGACCTCTTGGAAACCAGATGAGCAGATAAAAGGCTGCCTTGCTGTAGATCCAGGGAAAGGGGCCCTTCCTGGGGGGGGGGTGGGGGACACAACAGAAAGGCCTGCCCCTGAAAAATCAGAGGAAACAGAAGCAGGAGCAGAAAATGGGGGAATAGGGGCCAATGCGGCCACTGGGTCCAGTCTGGAAGTACTTGCAGAGATGGCACTTCCTATTGTCTGACCACAATTCCTCCTCCTTGGCAGAGTGCCCCACCAGTATATATGTATGCAGTGAGAGTGCACGGAGCAAGCAAGGTGCCCAAAGTCCAGAGCACCCCATCCTAGATGCCAGCACATGTCCCAGATGCAAGCACACGCTAGCCACAGGAGCCCTACCCATCGAACAGGTGTCAGAGTTGAGGGAATAGTGCATTCTTTAAAAATCCAGTCTTTTCCTACTCTGCTCCTATCCCCAGACCCAACATTTTCTAACTCCCGCTACTCTTATCCCAGGGTCTTAGGAAAGGTAGGGAGCCTGAGGACTAAAGAGGAAACATTCCAATTGCCCGTCCCCATTAGGGACTAGAACATTCCAATCCAATTTCCCAGAGACCCTAATGGCCAATCACAGTCTCAGCTCCTAAAACTGGGCGTCTTGACCTGACCTCTGGCAGCAAGAGGAAAACAGCTGAGAGAGTGAAATGGGCAAACAAGGAGTGCCACCTCCTTCCCTTCACTCCAAAAGAGAAAAGGGGAAAGAGAAGGGAAAGCAGGTGGCTGCTGCTGCTTTGGGAAAAGATACATTCATTTCCCAGCAATATGACCTCCCCCTGTGCTATTATGATGATGGGACATGGGTACCTGCCCCTTCCACAACTTGAGCACCTGCCCTCTTACAAATTGAGCCCCTTTTCCTCACCCTCAGACCTGGCTCCAGACCACAGCCCGATCCAATCATGCCTCCTGCCAGTGAAATGGGAAACTATGTGACAAACCACACACACATTTTCAGAAACTCGTGAACACCACCCATCCATGGCCTCCCCAGAGCTCCCATGACACCTCCTCAACCTCATGGAGGGAAACCCAAGTTGTTAGGCACCGGGTCTCATCCCTCAAACATGCATGCTCCTTCCTCTGGCCTCCATCCACTCCAGACCCCAAGACTCCTCAGGAACTGTCAGACCCTGGAGGCAGGGCAGTTAGTGGGCTCTAAAGCAGAAACTCCAAGATGGCTTTCCAAGAGAACTGTGGCCTAGGATGGGGGGAGCAAGGGGCTGAATTTGGGCTAGAAAGACAAGAATGTAACCACTCCAAGCACTAGAACCCAACCTATGATAACGGGTTGAGCATCCTTATTCTCCCTGATTCCTCCAATCTCTAATTCCTCTAGGAATCAGAACTCCTTTTCCCTGTTCCTCACAACACACACCCTTTTCTAGAATAACCCACTTCCCAAAACAGGCCCCTCATAAGATGGCCCACTCACCCTCACCCATAGATGTTTCAGATACTTAAGGCAGTGCCCTAGAACCCAGTCAGAGACATCCAAGAAGCCTCAGAATCCTCCAGACAGCCCTCCCTTTGGGCTTTCTGCCAGGAAAGTCTGCCTGCAGAGGCAAGAAGTAGTACCCCCAACACCACTCAGAGATACACATCACCTAAGGCGGGCACACACACACACACTGGTACTTATCCACCTACAAAGGTTACACACAAGAGAACAGATTCATTGGCACTGCTTCCCAGGCACACACAGCTATTCGGGTATGCCCCATTCTGCTCCTACACATCCACCTTCCTCCGTACCTATACACCTCTCTCCCATTGAACCCCTCCCTCGTTCACACAGACACACATCCCTTCCCCAGAGCACACACCGGCACAGAAAAACACCTACACCTCCAAACCCAGGGGCCCACCTGCAGGACACAGAAAACAAAGAATGGTGCACACTGGTCCTCCACCAACCCTTTAAAACTCACTAGTGCGGAGCCCACAGCTCCCCAGATGGGTAAATAGTGGGGAGAGGAATGCCGGCGCCTGTCCCCTGGGCCCGCATACCCAGTGCCCGGGTCTCCAGCCCGCTAACCCCATGCTCGTGCACACACACACCCTCTACTCTCCTGGACAGGCTCCCCAGACTCCAAAGTTGGGGGGCTACTCCGCGGAGCAGTGGGGGAGCGTACCGGAAGGGGGTTGCCCCGCGCTCCCCTTCCCCCATACGCCACCCAGCTCGCTCGGGGGCCGGGCATCCCCTGGCCCCTTGCATGACTGTCCTCCTTTTCTGTTTCTTTTCTTTCTTTTTTGGCAAACTTTGCCCGCGCCCCCCGCGCCCCCGCGCCCCGGCACTCACCCGCCGCTGCGACCTGCCCAGTGGACTCGGCGGGCGCCCCGTCGGCCCGGCGCCTTTGTATCCGCAGCGCCCGGGGTCGCTCCGAACTCCGCGCTCCCAGCCCGGCAGTGCGGACGGCGGGGGTGTGGAGGGGGCTCCGGAGCCTGGCCACCCCCTCTTCGTCCCAGACCGCTGCCTCTGCCCCCTCAAGGCCCCGGGGCAGGGGGCCGGGGGGCAATGGGGGGCGCTCAGGCACCCATGGCGGAACCTGGTATCTAGGAATCAGGGATCAGGAATCAGGAATCAGATCTGGAGCCGGCGGCGGAGGGGGAGGGGACGAGGCGTGGGGTGCAGGGGGCGGGGAGCGCGCTCCCGGTGCCGCCTCCCGGCTGTTCCCGCCGCCGCCGCCCTCCCGCCGCCGCGTCCATTGTCTGCGGCTCCGCTGTTCCCGGAGCCGCCGCTCCTCCAACCTGCGCCTCCAGGTGCCTGCGGCCCTCCGCGATCCTGGAGGCGGGACACCGACCCCGGCCCCACCGAAGGCCTGGGGATTCCGCCACTCCTGGCCTGGCCCAGCCTGCAGCCCCCCCGGGGCCGCTTTCCTCGACCCACTGCCAGAGACCGAGCCCCGAGCCCCCGGGGATGGCGGCGCTCAATACTTTAGGGCCACAGACCCAGCTACACAAAATCCAGGGGAATCTGGGACATGGAAAGATTGATCCTCCCAGGCCCCCACACACACCCACACCCACACCACACCCCACACCCCCGATCCTGGGGAAGGTAGAATAGTCCCTGATGTTAATTACTGGAGAGAGACGCGCCCCCTTCCCATACATACGGGGATTTCCCTGACACAGACACCACCCTTTCCCCCCGGCTTCCAAAAATAATTACTCGGTGTTCTAGCTGCGAGCGGGGGCCGCCCAGTCAGTCTAGGACTCTCCCTCATTAACGCCTGTTCCTCCCCCTGGTTCGAGCTTTGGGATTAATTACAAAGGGAGCCCTGCCTTGGGCGGTGGGGGTGGGGAGGCGACCAAGGCGCCGGGAGTTTGTTTGGCGGAGGAGAGGGGCCCTTCTTCCAGGAAACCTCAGGGAATAAAAATGCCTTGGCCTGTCCGGTCTCTAACCCCGAGCAGGAGCAGGCGAGGCTCTCGGCCCCAGGGTTTCAGAGACTTTGGAGTTAGTTGAAGGTACTACACGAAGATCAGAGTATCTAAAAATATCCGCCATAATTGGGCCATTTCTGCCTCCAAAAAGCCTGCTGGGGTTCATGAAGTGAAGCAATAGACTGAACCCACCAACAGTGACCCCCACTATAAAAGTCTAGGCTGCGGGACATCCATGTTTCCCTTGAAGGAAGTGAAAGCAAAAAATATGATTATATTATCATTAGTATTCTTGCTGTGCAACCCAGCACTTACTAGAATAGTAATACTTCAAAAGAACCTCCATACACTTTTCCCTGGGCAGGGCAAGGCCCTCTCCACACCTCAGCATCCTCCATCTCCCAATCTTGATATCTTCTCCCAACCCTGTGATTAAGAAGTCCCAGAGAAGGAGACACCCAGCCTCTTTTCCTCACTCCTTTGGGGATTTTTTTTTTGCTCCTTACTGATGTTTGTTTGTTTTTTTTTCTCCCTGAGACCCAATCTCATCCCTTTGGGTCATCCATTCTAACCTGACTAAAGATGAGGACAGAGCCATCTTCATCGGCATTGTGCCCATTCAAAGATGGAGAACCTTTAGAAACATCCCCCTTCTCCTTTGTCTGAACCTTTGCCTCTCCTCATTCTCCTTTCCAACATCCTGTGCAGACTGCATGGAATATGCAGAATCATTATTTCAAGTTCCTAGATCCCTGCATGCATCCAGACTCATTCGCTTGGTGTCTCTTGTGTGCCAGGAACTGGGCTGCCCTGGGGGTCCTGACAGTATGAGAAACAATGGTCAGGAGAGGTGGGGAAGGGTAAAGGGAGATAGGGAGGCCTTGGGGTGTTCCCCCTGCCTCAGTGCTGGGCAGCAAGTGTGTAAATTGACACAGTGTCCAACTGCCATGGCCTCAACTGACTATCCAGCAGGTCAGAGTGAACAATGTCCACATGATGCTAGCCTGTGCCACAGACCTCCGAAGGGCCCAAAGAATTGTAAACAGAGCTTAGATAATTCTGTAGACTGGCCCCACATAAAACTCAAAACCTAAATCAAGATTTCAACAGATATCAGGCATCAAGCTAGAATAAACTTGGTCTCTCCCTTTTCTTCTCTGAGGTTGAGATTGGGGGCTTTCAATTATATCTCTGTAACAACACAGGATTACAGAGGAGAGGTCCAAAATGAAATCTGATTGGTGAGGTGTGTCCCCTGCAGCAATTTCTCTGGCCTGCCTTCCACCCTCACCAGCAGGACACAAACCCACCTGATCTTACACATTCGTTATTCACAGGGCGGGAAAATAGAGACCCAGAGAAGCTCATGTGCCTCAGGGCCCAAAGGAGCTAGCCTAATTCTTCAGGAAGCTGGTAGATACTGGGGTGACATCTAACTGGATTTTCTCAAGGGGGCCCACCTACAGTGACAGAGGGTGGTCAGGAGCCTGAAGGACAACATCATGGAACACATTGAACTTTGAATGTACAGCTCCCAGCTTTGAGGACATGGGCAAGTTTCTTAATTTCTTCAAGCCTCAATTTCTGTATATAAAATGGAACTGATAAGCCCTAGCCAGTTTGCTTGCTGGTTAGAGCATCGGCCCACAGACCTAAGAGTCGCAGGTTCAATTCCTTGTCAAGGGCGTGAACCTCAGTTTTGGGGTCATGCAGGAGGAAACCAATTGATGTGTCTCTCTCACATTGATGTTTCTCTCCCTCTTTCTTCCTTCCTTCTTTCTATTCTATCTAGAAATCAGTGGGGGGGAGGGGAATGGAACTAATAAGGTAACAGAAGGAACTCCCTCCACATATCCATAATACCCCAGTAAATTCCCAATCAAACTTCCCCTTTCTGTTCCATGCCAAGGGGATTCCTAGTACTTTCCAGAATCTTGTTCAAGGAACAGGGCTCCTAGCCAAGAGTCAGGGCCTCAGTAAGAGCTTTTCCAACTCCTCACCAGCTCATGGGCCTGAGGCAGCAGGGACGAAACTGGCAGAGCAGAGACTGCCCTGAAAGGTTGAGTCTCCTGGCAAAGATGCAGAGGGCTCAAGGAGTGGCAATGCATGCTCTCCAGAGGTTTTCTGTGCAGATGAAGCTGTTCCCAGAAGTAAGGCCCAGACCATGGTGGCAAAGGTTAGGTCTTTTACTCTGGTTAAAAGTAGAGCCCTTTCCCAGGACCGCTGCAGAGAAAGGGGAATCCTTAGTGTCTTGCTCAAGCACAGAAGCTTCACACCTTAGCAGGATGGCCATCAAAGTTTTTCAGTGTGAGTGATTACCAGTTTCAACCACTTCCAGGTACAGGTGACCCCAGTAATGTACCCACATCCCAGGCCAGACCCACCATCTTCTTGCATCCTGCAGATAAAACCAGGACAGTTCCATCTCCCATGATAATTAGAGCTCTTTCCCCAGCACCCACTTTTCTAGAAAGACTACTTTCAATACTTAAAAATACTAGATCCAATCTTTGGAACAACTGGATTTTATTTCACTTTTAATAAAAAGGAAATAAAATAGCAAAAAATAAACAAAAATAAAAACCTTAGCAGGTTAACAACTCTGCAATGTCACAGGGTTGTTGTGAGCTGTTTCTCTCTCACATAAGCTCCTGATCTCTTTTAAAACAGCATCGAGTCTCATTTATTTCTACATTTACTAGCCCATAAAAGTCACTAAGTATTAGTTTGCTTCCCTTCTAACTTTCGTGTTTTCCTCCATCCCTCACCTATCCCAAACTTTTACCACTCCTTCTTCATCCAAACTTTATCAAGTGTGAGCTTCCTCACATCCCATCTCATTATCACCAATCTAGAAAGTTACCTACAATTAAACCAGTGGTTCTCAAACTTGACTGCAGATTTTAATCACCTGGGAAGCTCTGAAAATATACCCATGCCCAGGACACATCCCAGACTAATTAAACCAGAAACTTCCAAGGTCTAACCCAGATAGTGACATTTTTTAGAAAGTTAACTTAGTGAGTCTAATGTGAGAACCATTAAATCAAACTTTTTCTGATTCTCTTCCTCCTTTCTTGGCAGAATAAGTGCCCCCCACACCCCTCGATGTCCGCCATCTCTCCTGTATCTAATTCTTCACTCATCTTCACCTAGCAGGTGAAATGAAACAAAATGCCTCTCTGCACTACCCAGCTTCCTCTTACTTCAGCCCTCTCTTTCCTTTTCTTCTCATTCGATCTTCTTAAAAGAGTAGATTCCTCACCACCTTCCTTCATTCCTCAGCTCCTTCCAACCCAGCTATCTTCTTAATATCATTCCTTCTCCTGACTTCAAATATTGATATTTCCCAGAATTCAGCCTTTGGCCCCTTTGCTCCTCATCCTATGTGGTCTCCCACTATAATGTCATTCTTTCCCATAGCTTCATTCAGTGCTTACTTATTAATGCTCCTAAATCTAGATATCTCTTCTGAGCATCAGACTCATATTTTGAACTTCCTACTAGACATTTTAACTTGGCTATTCTCTGGGTACTCCAAATGTAATAAGTTTAAAGGGAACATAGTATCTTCCCTTCACCACCACCCCACACCCTTGGCTTATTCAGACGTTTTTCACTTCCAAACTTGCATCATTCCCTTCTAATCTATCTTACTTTTCAGAAGGAAAAATCAGACTGTCACTCCCTTTCCTGGAACAATTCAATAACGCCCCTCTTTCTACAAGATGAAGCCAAAACGTCTTGGTGCTGGATAAAAGGACTTCCAGTACCTGACTCACTTTCAGCCTCATCTTCTGTTGCTTCCTGTGCATTCAAAGTCCAAACATTCAACACACACATAAACTATGCTCACCTACTGGTTGTTCTGCCAACTTGGAGCTGGATTACTGCCTCTGCCTTCACGTGGTGCTTCCTTTGCCTGAAATGTCACCCCCCTCCTTCTCTGCCTAGAAAGGTCTGTTCATCCTTTAAGACTCAGCTGTGGTTTCCTCTTTGACTGGCTAACT